ATAGTCTGGTGCAGCTCTAATACAAGTAAAATTAAAAAACTGCTTAGTAAACAAAAACACGCTGTCAGAATTATTTCAAATGCAGGTCGATTCACACATACTAAAGAACTATTTAATAATCTTCACATACTCAATGTTTTTCAGTTAAACCTTTATCAAATTCTTATTTTTATGTACAAACTTCATAATAAAATATCACCTATAATATTTAGTACACTTTTCAATAAAATTAATCACATGTACCCTACAAGATTTTGTTCATCAAAGTAACTACTTTTCTTTTAAACTATAGCTTAAAGAACTCATTTTTACAATCAAAGATTTAACAATTTCCTTCTGATATTTTTTAATAATCTTCCTTTTTACCCTCTATTTAACTTGAGTTTAGAAAACTGTATCTGTATTATTATTAACAACTGTAATCTACATATATAATAAATATAACGCACCTAGTATTTATAACAGAATGTTTTAAGTTTCTTACTTGGTTAACTTTTTTATCATATAAAAATCTTATAAATTTTAACACGAACATTTCTAAGTGGTACTCGACGACAAGACCGTATGGTATTTTACGAGTTCCCGCGTTTTTTTATTTTTTTATAACTATCATTATTTATCTATATATTTTTATTATTATATATTTGTTTTTTAAATATTGTAACGAAATGCTTATTTAAAATGTAATAATGCTTATTTAAAATGTAATAAATGTAAAAATGGGCTATTATCAAAGGAAAACTTAGCTAAGTTTTCCTTTGATAATAGCCCATTTTCTTTGGATAGAAAGTAATTTCAAATAATATGGTGGATTGTAGTGTTTTTTTAATGAAATCTACTTTATGTTCTCTAAGTCAGTCCCAATGTTGTCTCATGAAGCTTAATCGGACCAAAATAACGGTTTACACGTATGAGATTACACTATGAAAAACGAAAAATTACGCTTCTTGAGGCATTTTTTATGTATATTTTGGTGTTAAATGTTCTTGTGGTCGCAAAGCAAGAGCTTTTCTCACCACACTCACAAATTGCTTGCCAAAGAACGCGAAAACTCACACATTTTGTATTTATTTTTGAAGTCTTGGATATTTTTAGCTTCTTTTACGGTAAACCTTATTAGGTTTACCGTAAAAGATCAATAAATGCAAAAATAAATGCAAAATGTGTGAGTTTTCACGTTCTCCAAAAATAAATGGAAAATGTGTGAGTTTTCACGTTCTTAAGTAAAACTTACCTAAGTAAAATTTTAGGAATATTAAGGTGGTATTCTGATATTATTTTGGTAAAAGAACTAATTTTTTTTTCCTTTGTGTTTGTTTTTCGGAACAATTGAACATCGTAGAATCTAAAAGTAAATAATTTTTTCTCGTAACAATAAAGAAATGACGTAGTAGTAGTTTTTATTGATTTATTTGAATAGTTTGGTATTTTATTCGATTGAGCAGTTTAGTATTTTATTCGAAACACAATGTTACTATAACATATACTTTATTATTTCAATAAAAAATCTTTTAGCTTCAAATTTTCAGGAAATGTTCACTATTCTTATTTGTAGTGACTGAACCTAACATCAAAAATATAACCTAAAAAAAACCTTGGGCAATAATGAGCCTTTTCTTAAAACAATTTTCAGCGATTTTCTATCGCTGAAAATTGTTTTAATTGTGTTATTATATTATTTTTTCTACCGTTAAATTTTCTAAAAAACATATTTTATTCCTGAGAAAGAAATCATTTTTATCCCGGCTGTTTTTCAAGATTATATGAAAATTATGTTTATAGACTTTAATAAAGATATTCTTTCAGAAAAGTAAAACACAGAAACCTCATTAGTCTTTAAACCAATTGATTTAAAAGTTTTAAATTTATTAGAGTAACATCAGATGTGCTATAATATATCAACAGACAATAATTTTTTCAAATATTATTTGATGAGCCTAAAATACCAGTAGGCTCATCAAATAATATTTACACAGTATACATACCCTTTGTCTTAGAAATACCTTGAAACCGAAAAATGCACAAGTGAAATTAGAAAACATTAAACTAAGATACATAAAGATTTTTGTAATTTTTACAGTTTTACTCAAAACCATATTACATAGCTGGCAATGAAAACACTTTTTTAACTGATAATTGATTTGGTCTGAAATTTAGCACACTTATTTGTATTACATCAATTTAGAACTTTTAGAGGAATTAAATTTACTTATAATTGGTGTTCTACTTTTGTGAGTGATTTTGTGTGCTTATATAACACAATAATTTTAAAAAATGACTAAAATGCAATCCTTAATTTTTTTGGTCAAACTTCAAGCCTGTTCTTTGTAATTGCATAAAGTTCACAAGCCAAAATTTCAAAACTATTGTTTGCTAAAAAATTTTTTAGCAAACAATAGTTTTGAAATTTTGGCTTGTGAACTTTTTTATAAAAAGCTTTTTTAAAAAAATTGAATTTTTTTAATAGAAATTCTATTTTTTACACCATTTAAGTATCACTCTTTATGAAGAGTCATACTTGAATGGAGTAAAAAATAGAATTTCCATTAAAAAAATTAGATAATAAAACAAAAAAAAAAGAGTACAACTTGGTTTTAACCATTCTCAAGTTCAAAAGGTCCTATAACTATAGTTATAGGATCTTTTCAATTTGAGAATGGTTAAAACCAAGTTGTATTTTTTTGTTGTCAAAATACCACTTATATAATTTCGTTAACCTTAGAGTTGTAAATCTTTCTATTGAATTCTGAAATGTGATAATCTTATTTTTTAATTACATCTTATTTATTGTTTTGTGTTTGGATGCAACCAAAATTGTAGAAAATGCAATCAGTTAAACATGTGCTCAATCTTTTTTGATTACTAGTAAATTTTTGTAATTTATCCATCAAAAACAAGTTTGAAAACAGTTTTTGAATTTTATTTCTAATTGCATATTAATAGGGACGATTGAATAAGCGCGAATTTCATAAGTGCGAACTGGCGTAATTGCAAACATGCGTAAAAGCGAACTGGCATAAGGGCAAACTAGCACAAGTGCGCCAAAAAAAAATTCAAACATTGGCATAAGTGTGAATTGACATAAGTGTGAACTGGCATAATTGCGAGACAGTTGAAAAAACTGGCATAATTGCGAATCAGCATAAGTGCGAACTGACATAAGTGCGCCGAAAGAATTTGCAAACATTGGCATATATGCGACTTGGCATAAGTGCAAACTGGCATAAATGCAAATTAGCGTAAGCGCTCCAAAAGGATTTGTTAACATTTGCATAAGTGCAAACTAGCAAATGTGCGAAATGCTAATTCCGCTTAGGTTAATATTTGCAACTTTATTCCCAGTTCCCATTTATGCCACTTTTTGTAACTGCTTCGCACTTTTGTTTGCACTTTTGTTTGCTGCAGCTTCACACTTATTTCAGTTTGCACTTGTGCCAGTTTTTGCAACAGTTTTGCACTTATGACAGTTCGCATTTATTTCAGATTTTGCTACTGCTTCGCACTTAAGTCGGTCCGCACTTAATACAATTTTCACTTATGACAATGTTTGCAAGTTCTTTTAGCGCACTTATACCAATTCGTACATATGCCAGTTTGCATTTTTGCCAGTTTTTGCAACGCTTTACAATTATGCCAGTTCACACTTATGAAATCCGTGCTTATTTAACCTCAAGATTAGAGAGTGGGACTACCCGCGGTTCTTAAGTGAAAAGTTCGTTACAATATTAGCTTATGAAGGTACCTACCTATATATCATTGCAATAATTTTCTATATTTTTTTCAATGTTGTTTATATGCAAATATGTGTATTTATGTATGCGTTTTCTAATACATATGTTCATCTAAAATTAAACCAATTAAATATTGCAAATATTATAAATAAAGTCATAAATTTATTTGTAACGCAACAAATATAAACATTTCAAGTTCTCAAAGTATTTTTTCCAAATAATATTTCTGAAAATAAGACTTTCAAGTTGCATTTTTAAATATTCAATTACATAACAATTGAATATTCATTTGTTAATGTTGTTTAAAAGTATCAGAATATTCAAAAACAAACCAAAGCAAATATCCATACAAGGAAAAAGACTAAAACGCTTATGTTTAATTAACGCATAAAAATCAACCTCAAGATGATGAGTGCATTTGGATTGAAGGCTGCATATAAAAAAATCAATGATGATGATTACGGAGTACAAGATGACTTTAGCTAATTATAGTTGTGTATATATATATATATATATATATATATATATATATATATATATATATATATATATATATATATATATATTATATATATATATATATATATATATATATATATATATATATATATATATATATACCCAGCCAACATTGACAGACGGGTACCGTACGGGTACCGTCTGGAAACCAAAACACTTGTCAAAATCCCTGACGGGATTTTGACAAGTGTTTTGGTTTCCAGACGGGTTCTATATGGTAATGAAATCAAGCATATTTGCTCGTAAGGGTTTTATCTGGTTTTTATCAGGGCCGAATAACCTGGGGATTTGACGGGTTTCCCATAAGGTTCCCAAAAGGTTTAAAAAAAATCAAAACATAGTTTTTAATTCGTATTGTGCGTGAAATAAGATTAAAAATTTAACTTTTATGCATTATATTTTTTGAATACATTATATTTACATTGTAGTTAAAAAGAATTTTTTTTTGATGTGTTTTGTCACTGTAAAACTCAGTTAAAAAGACGTTGTTTTAAAATTTCATTTATTTATTATCATTATAAAAGAATTTTTATATATACATATATATATCAAAGTGTCTGCATGCCCGGCAGCCGGGTAGTAAAAGCGTAAAACCTACATGCCCGGCAGTTTATGTACGCATGCGCGTAATATCGCTAGATTCTTATTTTAAATTTTTTCCCTCGTGGTAACTTATATTTGCATTTTTTGTAAAATATAAAATATATAATAACCTAATATAAGATATATATATAAATTATACATATAAATTTGTATTTGCCTCGTATTTACTGTCATGGAAACTTACAAAGAACTATTGGTAAGAGAAATAGTTTGTTATTTTGTTTTTACTTTTATTGACTAAAATATACTATATTAGTTATATAGTATATTATACTGCTAATATAGTATAGTACTATTATATGACATACTGATAATATAGTACATACTTCTAATATAGTACATACTTCTAATATAGTATATTATATATGTTTTATTGACTATATTATATAGTCAATAAAATAATTATACTCTAGTAGATTTATGAATACTAGCAGTTTATATATTCTATATACTGCAAGTAAACATATATATATAAAAATGCCTAATCATTCTAAGTAGCTTTGGTAGTTCTAAAACACTAGTAATGTAAAGTTAAAGATTTATGACAGTATCTCCTGACATAAATTATGTCATAATTAACACCAGACATAAATACAAAATCTTACACAATGACTTTTTTACTAAATAACCAAAAAGCTTTATTTAACTTGTTTTGTTCGTATATTATGACAAAAACTGGTTTGGGAAAACTATTGTTTTCTCAGAAATTGATTTACAGTTTTTAAACCTCTTCCCCCAAAAAAAAAAATTGGATGGGCATCTTTCTTTTTTGTCAACACACAAACAAAACAGTTATTCATGTTGCTAGTCAAAATGTAGCTAATTATTATAATTGTATTGTAAACAGTAATTGTTGTAATTGACTATAGCTCATTTTAACTGATTAAGCTTGAGAGATTAAAAATCTGAATAGCCTATTGAGATTTTTAATCTCACAAGCTTAATCATGTAAGCTCATATATACATATATTTATACTGACAAACAGCAAGATATTTTTTAAAAAGTTTTTTAGCTTTTTTAGCACCAAAAACCGGGAGGTTGTTTATTTTGTTAAGTACTTAAGTTAGGTATGCGTATTCTTATTTCTACAAACATATATATATATATATATATATATATATATATATATATATATATATATATATATATATATATATATATATATATATATATATATATAGTGTACTATATATTTACGTACTATATATATAAATATATATAGTACTTTACGTACTATATATATTTATATATATAGTACGTAAATTAGGTTCATGTGATAAAAATTAGTTATCTGCTACAAAATATTTTTCAATTAAACTTGTCATACATGTTGGAAATGATTAAACCAATCCCATTAGATTTAAAAAAAAAACTCCAACATTTCTTCAATATGAATTTTATTTATATCACTTGTCCAAAGATCAGTTTAATGTCTTGATTAAGACATTAAATTTCAGGAAAACAAAATTTAAGCATCTTTCTTCTCCCCCCTCCCTCAAAAAAAAATTTTCTCTGAACAAATTTCTTTACTTATATATATATATATATATATATATATATATATATATATATATATATATATATATATATATATATATATATATATATATATATATATATATATATATATATATATATATATATATATATATATATATATATATATATATATATATATATATATATATATATATATATATATATATGTACTATATAATATATACTAATTTACAAAAGGATAACAATCTAATAATTTTTTTTTTAGACAGATTACACTTCTAAAATACCATGTACTTTGTGCAACAAATTTTCAGTTAATGATGGATCCATTATTTGTAGTCAATGTTTAAGTATAAAATTTTGTATTTATTTTTTTCACTTTTTCTGTTTTCTATTTAAAACAAACCAAGATTAAAATTTGTCTTATAATTTAAAATGTCTTTTTTTTCTTTCAAGGTAGTTCAAGTGATATTGAAGACTTGAATACGTTTGTTACAACAGGTATACATTTTTTCTTCGTATTTGTTTATAATTATTGATACACTTTGATGTGTAAATATATCGGTAAAAAAATTATGTTCAATAAATATAGTCTAAATAAGCCTCAAGCAAGAACTCATAAAATTGGCAGTTAAAGTAAATCAAAAAGTAAAGATTTTATTAAATGATGACTCAATAAAAGATTTTTTATTTTTGGATCACAATTTTGGGATCCAAAAATAAATTTTTATTTTTATTTTTGGATCACAATTTTGATAGGTCACAGGTATTAGATTTCAATTCAATCTTCTAAGTTGTTTGAAATTTTTTTTAAATATTAAGTCTAGATGTGAGTGGAAGATCTACAATACAGTCTATTTTATGGTGGTAATTTTTTTTTAATAACTCTAATAAAAACAAGGATATAATTAAATATTTATAGGATTGAATTTGTTTACAAAGAAAAGTATTATGGAAATAGCATCTTCTCAATTGCTAAAATCTATTTATTCTGGTCAAGTAAGTATCTTTCTTAAGTTTGTAAGTATCTTACTTAAGCTCGGATAGCTCAGTAGGATAGCACGCTTCTATTATTGTGATTTATCAATTGCCGTAGCAGTAGGATTGCAGATTCAAATATATTTTTTGCCAGCTCAGGGTACTATTTAATTATCTCTTCTATTATAAATTTTCTTTCTTTACTAGTAAGCAAATAATCTAGTTGAGTAAATAAGCGTTATTGTTTATCCTTTTATCATAAAACGTTTATTGTCTATACCTAAAACAAACTTTAAAGTCTACAGAGTTCTTTAAATACTGTGTTCTTAAAAATATATTTCAACATTTGTTTATTTATTGTGAGTTGTTCAAACATCAGTTTGGAAACAAAATGATGAGTAATATTTTAATGTAAGTCTTTTGCAATATTTTATTTTTATTCAAGTATTCAATTTTAAATACTTAAAATCAAATAGTTTTATCTTCAACTAATCGACTTTTAGTCAAAATTAATAACAACTTACTAATGCTAAATCCTTAAATAATATTTTTGTATTTTATGTTCAGTTATACAGTTACAGACATAACTGGTTTATTGCTGGTGGAGAAGATAAAAGTTTGTATTATATAAAAATATAGGACTTAACACTCTATTATTTCATTTGTTTTATTTATTTATTTATTTTCTGATTATTTGAAATTTTGCATTTCTATTTATTTATTTAGAAAATCTTTCTAACGGAGATCTTCTTAGTCTTTTGTCAGAAGATCAATCACATGATCTTTTTAATGCTTTTGTTTTAGCTTTTAACAAGTTGAAGGTAATCATAATCTGGAATATTATTCAATTATTCATTTCTAAACAAAGTCAAAAACAAATTTTAAACTCATTGTTTGAATAATACTCCATTTTCCAGTATTAATTTTTGTCATATATGTAATGATCTTTTTAGGATAGTGACTATGTATTTAAAGTTGTAATGCCTGAATCAATTGTATTTTTATTTGCTAACGCTAGTAATGTGTCAAGAATAAAGGTAATCTAAAATCTGAATATTAAAATCTTCGTTTTTCAATTTTTTATTCTATTGAATAATTATTTATATAATTAAATATTATTTATTTATATAATTAAATGTTATTTATTTATATGATTAAATATTATTTATTTATATAATTAAATATTATTTATTTATATAATTAAATATTATTTATTTATATAGTTAAATAATGTTATTTTATATTTCGTTATTATAAATTTTAATAATACAATTCGTAATGATATTTTTGCCTATTCTTGATTTAGGCTGAAGTAGCTCTGAGTGCTTACATTTCTGAAAGGTAAAACAAAGTTTATGTTA